CCCTACACAACCCCAAACCCAACCCCCAAACCACCCCGGATGAGAAACGAAGAACCTACATGATAACACCGCTGCCCCCCATGATTCCGATGACAATTGTTCATGCACTGGTCATACCCGCGCCGACACCACTGAGTGTTGGCCTCGTCCGCGGGCGCATCGTCGACCACCGCCGCAGCAGCATCAGCCGTATCCGCTTCGGCGTCGGCGGTCGGCGCCGCGAGCGCCAGCGAGGTGAGCAGGAGTGTGAGGGGGATGATGAACCGCATTCTGCCTTGTGTTTTTGGGGTGAGGGCTTGGAAAGATACAGCTATGGGGTTTGGGGTTTGTGTTGGTTGTTGTTTGGTTTGTGGGCGAGAGGCAGTGGTGGTGGTATTTATGTTGTTGCTTTGTGCAGCTTTCGCTTTCGCTTTCGCTCTCTGGGAGTTTGGTGGTTATTGTGGATGAGGAGTGGATGGTGTCCATTTTGCGCCGAGTTGCGCGTGTCTGTCTTCTGACCTGACCTTTGGTGGTGCGATGCTGATGCTGATGCTTGGAGGGATACGTTCCGATGGTGATACAATTCTCAGGGCCATCATTGGGGTTGTCTTCTCTGTCTTCGGAGGAGAGGGAGATGGAGAGAGAGAGAAATGGCATGGGTACTGGGTGGACATGGTGTTTCTATGTCGGGGTTGGTGGAGTTGGTAACGTTGACTTTGTGGGGGCCGTTTGGCTTTTTGTGGTTTGTGCGATGGTGATGGGGTTTTGAAACTCTGGAGATGGGCTGGGCTCCGGTGGGTATTAGCTGGATAGGTACGGGACAATGTCTTGATGGGCTGGTAGGAAGGGTGGTTGATATTGGATGGTTGTGAGGAGCGAGGATCACGAGGGTTAAGGGTAAGCTTACTTCCTTTGCCTTTGCGTGGTGCTTGGGGCTGTATTTCTGTTGACTTGTTGATATCGATGATAGATATGATTGATCTGAGAAAGGTCTAGGAGATAGACCTCGCGATCCAGAGACAGGGCAGCCCAGTGAGAGAAAAGGTACAGTGTCCATATCTATATCTACGTTCATCTCTTGGTATCAACATCTTCATTATGGGTATGGGAAGAGCCCACACCTACAGTTCAGCGACAACCACCACCACCACCACCACCAACCCACTACAAAGTCTCGGAAGATATCCACCCCATCCCTCCCATCCCATCACTGATCTCGAGATCAGACCTCAAACTTCCAAACCATGAGGCTCGTGGAACAATCCCGCAGAAAACCCCCCTCACCACCACCACCGTCTCTCAGGGCCCAGGGCTCAGGGGTTCTTTTCTGCGTGATTCGACAACTTCTACCCCAGGGTCTGCGTAACCCCCGAATCATCAACCCGCCCCCTTGGTGCAACAGTAAGCGGGAGTGAGATGCCGGAAGGGGAGTCACCGTCCTCTAGTGAGGAAGTCAGGAGACCGTAGGTACCTAGTAGGTAGTTCTTGAACCTTCAGGCAAAGTCAATGTCGATGTCAGGGATCGGTCGTCTTGAGTGTAGTGTAGGTAGTATTCACTTACTACTCGGTTCGAATTGAGTTTTCTGCTCGCTGGGTGAGATTCTTCGTACATTCGGATCTCGTGGGGTATACTAAGTAAGTTACTGTACTTCAGAGAAAGTAGCGCATGTCACCGCAAGCCATCTCTCTCCTCTGTAAACTCAGTACCTTAGGACATTCCAATTGGGAAAATGGGGACCCTTGTTCTCCGCGGAGAAAGACAAACTTTGAGTTGAGATGGCTGCGGAACAGAGTCGAGTCGGTGGCGGGACGTGAAAGTAAGAATACCCCAAACGCCAAACTCCAGGTCTGGGGTCACAAAAAGTGTCAGATTCAAATCGAGCCGGAGATGATGGATCAGATGAGGCGCGCGGGGGCGGGCGTTGTGGGCGTTGTGGGCGTCATACTTGGGGTTATTGGCCTTTTGCCTCTTTGGGAGGAAGTATGTACAGTACTGTACGTACACTCTAGGGCAGTTGCTGTTGGAATCGTTGATGATGGCTGTTTTGTTGGTGGTGAGGGGGATGGTCGATTTAGGGGTGCACAGGAAGCAAAAAATTCGAGTGATTGATTGTATTGTATTGTGAATCTGCAGTAGGATCTGAAACCCTTTTCCCTGTCTGTTGGTTCACTCGGTACTGTCTCTACACTCAGCAGTGATTACTGAGTACTTGGCAACAGACAGGGTTGCGGGGAAACGGTACATTGGGAGATGCTTTAGAGGTACTCAATACATGCTGAGCACAAGAAAGAGGCAGAGACGGGCAGATTCAAGCGTCACACAACAGCTGTTCGCAGAGCAATTCACCCAGTCGTGCTGCTGCTGCTGGGCAGGTAACAACGGGAATGGTATGATGCATGGTACTTTTCTCTTCCTCGCCCATCGCCATAGCATCAATCATTATTACATCCTGTACGGAGTATGTACATATCAGCACCTCAACCCAATTTTCCCATCACGGAGGTCTTCAGGCAGCTAGCAGCAGCAGCAGCAGCAGCAGCAGCATCATCTCCGATCGCCTCGATGGGATTAGGCAAACATGGATCATGACCATACTGCGACAGGAGGATACTGTATGATCGGAGGTCTCCAATCCAATTTGCTTATTTTGGGGCTTGGATGGTTAGGGCGGGGAAAAGGGAGGAGGAAGAGTAGTTAGGTATACTTAGGTACAGTACAAGCTCCTGTGAGATGGGTGCATGCCCGCACGCACTGTGCAAGGATGGCGGATATGAGTGAGACATTGACATACGACATGTAACATCTCTGTCTTCATCGCCCATGTACAGTACAGATAGACGACGGAGGTAGTCCGCACTTGAACTATCAGAAGAGTTGGTAGGTAGTAAGTAGTCACCCAGTAGATTAATTCCCATCTTTCCCTCTGTCCACAGCCCCGATTGTCTCCAAGCGAGGCGGGAAGTCAGAACAGGCGGGCTGTACCGGAGTCAACAACCACCTTCCACCCACAAACATCTGCAACGCGACCCCCTTCTTATCACTTCATCACATCTCCTTTGCCTTTGCCTTTGCCTTTGCCTTGTCTTTCTCCTTCTTCCCGGCAAGTTCAATGAGATAGCTCTGCCGTGCCGGAGCAATACATGACTGCGGAAGACTATGGAGGACTAGGGCGATTGACGACCTTTGGCTCGTATATCTCGATCGGGAAGGCTTGGGCCGAGGCTACACTGCTCCTACTCTCGTTGCCTGATTATCATCCCAGCACAACTCCATGGCGGTTTACGGACACCAGGAGGGTAGAAAAGGGTGATGGGACAGCAAACACGGGATGAAATAGATACGTGAGACGGAGGAGAAGGGAGGCTTGATATTGGCGAGGGTCCATGGTAATCGATAGCGACGGAACGCCTTCTACTGACAGCACTCTGCGGCAAACAACCTCACTTGAAAGTCTGCGCCGGTGTGATAGTGATTCGGCTGAGATCGCAATCATATGTGGTACGGATATTGGTAGGTATTGTTTGTACGGAGCAGTCTGCTCGACAAACTCCATTGTGAATATGGAAGACCGTCCGTAACTCCTGTAGTTCGAAATTGAAATCAGTACTGAGGGGAGAGATGGCGAGACGAGAAGTCCAAACCAGCTAGCTTGGTTGGCACTTTCGATTGACATCTGCGTCATGTTATTCGGGATCACATGGCGACACCGACCGACTGACAAACTGCCAACACCCCCAAGAGTTTAGTGGAATCCTTAAACCTCAGAACAGGGCATAAGGCATCAACAGCTTCACCTACAGAGTGAGCTAGTTCAAACACCTCCCGATTCCCAACCATGACGAAGAGACTAGCTGTCTCACGAAGTGGAGAAGGAGGGAAAAAACCACCACCACCACCACCACCACCACCACCATCATCATCATCGCATCTGCGCCGCATCGCCATCGCTCATCGCCCGATGCGATGCCCATCGGCTATCCCATCCGTCCACTGTTTCAATTTCCCCGCATCCGTCCCCCCCCCTCCACAGGCGCAACCAAAATTCCCAGACCAATTCGTAACAACAGGTTAGAACACGAGTGGCAGTAGGATGCAAAATACCCAGAACTTTCCAGGTAACTCCCCGAGGCATTGGTCAAGTTTACCTACCCATTGTATTTAACTTACAACTACGACTCGAGTAAGTTTAAAGCTAACCTTCTAGCCCCAGTCACCCAGACTAACTCCCTCCCTCTCCTCTTTCTCGCGCTCTATCGATTTCCATCAACACGATTCTGGAGTCTAGATGTGTCCCGACACAATCCAAGTATGGCCACTGCCCCAGGAAAAAAAAATACGAACCGTAGAAGACTCCAGAAACTAAAGAGGGTAGGTAGGCCTAGAATCTGACCCTATGGACTGGACGGGGATTGACTTGGGTCTATCTGTCACTTTTGTGTTGTTGATACAGGGTTCCAGTTCCCAGCTCGTAGACCCAGAAGGGGGAGGGAGGAGAGAGGGCGACTAGTGCAGTACAGCTGCTGTAGCTCAAGTTACGTTACTTCTCCCGCAATAAATCAAGAGTGCAGTGCAGTGCAGTGCAATAGGGCACACCGCATCACGCTAATGGATGATGGAATTGGCAACGGTTCAATTTGTGGTGAGGTGAGGTGAGGTGAGGTGAGGTGCTACGGTCGAGTTGTTGCGGCGGCGGCTGCCCCGGAATGCAAGAGGTGCTGCAAGCCTGCGACTAAGTCACTGATCGCATGCCTAGATAGCAGCACCAGCAGTGACGGAAAGAGGGGGAGGAGGTTACCTAGTAATTTCGTTTGAACATCGGGGAGACGAAGCTAGCCAGTGTCGATGGTGGGATTGGTTTAATTAACTACCTACTAGGTAACTTGCATCCTCTGGTCAACCAGCTGGAGTAGTATCCATCCGTATAGTCCAGCGACTAAGAATTAATCCCTGCCAGAAGCATACTACTAGGCATCGCATCGCATCGTCGTCATCATCCACTTCATCCGTAAACCCTGGAGAACAATGTAACTACTCACTGTAATTACCCTATTCTACACGCTGCGACAATCCCTCCCTCTACCCATAAACCCATTGTTTAACCTACGTACGATCTCTGATCTTCATTCTTCGGCCCATTCAATCAAGACCCACGAATGAACGTGAAGTGAAGTGAAGTGACTCAACTAGTTTCGGACCGGCCCTCCTCTCTCCCAAAAATCAAACCAAACCAAACCAAACCCACCACCCTCTCCCCTCCCAGCCCCAAAACCAACTTATAAGAAAGGGGTAAAGATCACCACCCCCTCCGGGCCTCAAATTGAATCCTGTTTTCTGGTGCGTCGACTGACCACGCGGAAATTACATCCCACTGGCTCAGAAGCATCCTTCCCTGAAATGAAATCAGGAATCCCCCCGGGGGCCACTTGCGTGAACAGTAGACCGTCCTAGGGCTTGGTCTTCGACGGTCGAACATCCCTGAAGAACCGGGCCTACGATGTATCGTCCGGAGTTATTTCCCATGGCTGTTCTGATAGGCTCGTTGGATCCGCACTCCCTACCACTACCTGGTAGGTAGATCGATAGAGGCACCGCGGAAAGGCAAGATGGATAGATATGGGTAGACGGGTTGTTGATACAGTTAGTAGTCTACACTACGGTAGGTAGTAAGTTAGCTTCCCCAAATCAAGAATATCCCCCGTCACTACGGTACAGCACCACCACCTTGGTTTATGATCAATCTTGGATATCCGATTTCGTCTTTCACATGCGATTTTCTTGGGGCTTTGCCGCCTAGTGAGGGTCTGGAACGTTGTTTGATGTCAAGGGGGGGGGGGGGGGTTGATCAACAGGTTGGATTAGTGGATAGGTAACAGATAGGTGTAGATCGTGAGCGAGATACATAAATAATAGAACAGTAGACAAATCGGAGGCATGGCTGAGATGTCATGCCGGGACGGGGAATGGTCAGAGAGAGAGCATATTGCATAGTATCTCGGTATAAGGTTCGATCGGGAGAGGCGCTCGCCACGGGTGGGTGTGTTCCCACGATGGGCTTGTGGCGCTCTGGCTGGCGTTAGTTATTGTCCTTCGGTTATTGAAACATGACATCTCTACCAGAATTCCCCGAGGGGGTGGAAGAGGGGGGGTGCACATCTGACAACTGACAACTGACAACTGACAACTGACGGGACGGGACCCCGGGCTTAGTGCTGGGCTTCTATACATCGTAGGAAGTGGAACGGTAGGTGATGTGATGCGGTGTGGTGTGGTCAATTCCTAATTAACTAACCAACTGAGTCTGTCGCGGCAGTTGGGGTATATGCGACTACCAAATAAACAGAAAAAAAAAAAAAAAAAAAAAACTGGGCAGGCTGCACTCTTTCTCTCTCTCTCTCCCGATAGCCGTCCTATCTTTCTCGCTACTACTCAGTCCCACGGAGGCCCTCCGGACGCCATCTGGTGGAGCCCTGAAGCCCGCCAGCCGTTTCAGCATCCCGTCGATCCTTGGCTGACGTGGGCTGCACAGTAGTGCCAGTACAGCTGCAGACAGCTACAGACTACTCCGTAACAGCACCGCCGTCAAAAAAAAGCTGTGACCACTCAACCAGGGGTATCACCACATCGTGCAGCCTTCGTTGCCTTCTCGGTGCTACACGGCGATTCATACCGTGGAGGACTCATATTACCCCTACCAAATCAAGCTATCCGCATCGACCGATCGTCCGAAAGACCTACCTCACCACTGCGCGACCGTCGTGCGCCGCCTCGTCACCACACTCTAGCTCCAAGGGACAGGCCATGTGGGGAGTTAAGCAATTCTTCCAAAATAAGTACATGCAGCCACATTTCCAAATCGGTGGCAATCCTCCTCCTCCTCCTCCACTCCTCTTTCGGCGGCAACAGCTCGCCATCGGGCATCAGGGCAGAAACCAGGCCATGCCGGAAATCAAATGATAACACTCTCAGAGTTCGCAACAAGGTATCAAGAAAAGAACAAAAGTACGACAGAAGGCCTCCTCAAAGCCCGTCTGACGACAAACTCCCTCCCATTAGGATCAAACTTGATTTGCAACGATAGGCTTAACTGTAAAATGCTAAGATACGGGACCAAAGAAAGAAACCAAAAATATAAACTCGTGACAACAGTCGTGGACGTCTTTGTATGAAGGGTGGAGTGGAGCCTGATATCTCGAAAAGCTCGGCAGGCGGTCCTCAACACTATCGATTTTGCCGAATGCAAAGTGATGCACCGGGCCAACCCAAGAAACGAGCCTTCATATCATCTAATGAGCGGCTAGTTTTATTTGAGCCACATCCTCTCAGCCAACACCGAGGAACCCCCAGTCAGCTCCTTCAGGCTGGCTCAGGAACCGAGCGTGCTTGTATTCATCATGGTCTGACTCCTGGGAAATTGCCGTCACAGGGGTAGACTCAACGACCGGGGCCTGACTGTAGGGCTGCTGGTACTCTGGTTGGATGTATCCATGTCGTTGGTAATCGTAACGCTGCTGCTGTTGCTGCTGGTGCTGCTGGTGCTGCTGGTGCTGCTGATGCTGCTGTTGCGGGTGCGGGTGGTGCGGGACGTAGTGCATGTATAGCTGCTGTACATGAGGAATGTCAGCCGACAACGTGACCGGCACGCTGGTGGCAACCACCGGGGACTGCTCATGGATAGGCACGGACGTGATCTGTACATTCTGGTGCGGGTAGTAGTTGTGATGCGGCGGCAGCGTCGTCGTGAAGGCGAAGTGCGCCTGTGGAAGAATGTACGACTCATGCGGCGCAGAGATGGCGACCGGCGGATGATACTCCTGGTCAGAAGCAGGGTCCTCAGATGACGTGCGGCTCGCGGCCGCACCATGTGTTTTCTCATGGTGTTTAGTCAATGTAGTCTTGCGGCAGAAGCTGTCGAAGGTCAGAGGCTAGCTTTCACGGCATTCATGATTTGTACGTACCTCCTTTCACAGGTAGGCTCTTGGCATATATAGGGACGCTTCCCGGTGTGGATCCTTCGATGACGGGCCAGACTCGATGACTAGAATGGTCAGCTTTGATGTCCGACAAGAGGGAATGATCAGCACCACGCACATCCGAGAAAGCTTTGCCGCATCCTTCATAGTCGCACGAATGGGGCTTTTCGCCAGTATGCGTCCGCACATGTACTGTCAGGGCACTTCGCTGGATAAAACTCTTCTTGCAGTCTTCATGATTGCAGTGGTAAGGCCGCTCGTTGGTGTGGATGCGGTAGTGCCTGCAGAGATCGGATTTGCGGTTGAAGGACTAGGCATGATCGTCAGTATATTTCGTACATCCCGTTGGCTCAGGTCATGGTTGAATGTGCATGAGCCACAGGCAGAATCAAATAGATACCTTATTGCAGCCTGGCCAAGTGCAATTAAAGTCGCGTCCACTGCCGGGTGCCATGGTCGCTGCAGGACAAATGTTTGCCGCGGCGTGAAGTGTCACGGGAGGTGTGGGCCGCGATAAGGTATGTGGCCGCGGCGAGGGATCGACGGGGTGATAGGTAGAAGTGAGAAGGAGGTAGATTGGTGGTCAAAGCAGGGTATGGCTAAACGTGTACGAGAAGACACAAGACGGCGTCGGAGACTTTGTGGGTTAGAAAGTTGGAGAGCTTGAAGGGAAGGGTCGAAGATAAAGGAAGTGAGAGAAGAAAAGCGAGGAAGGAGGTTGAGGAGGCGAATATAGCAGGAATGTCGCAGCGAATTAAGTATGAAAGTCTGCAGCGCCGCTAACAATCATTGGCGGCGAAAGGCAAACCAGTCATTTGACAGCCAAGTCGCAGGCTGGATGATGAATCAAATGGGTAAGCGCAGCGAGCAGTCCAGGCCAGCAACCTTTGAGGCTGGACTATAATAAGCTGAAGGAAGAGGAAGAGGAGGTAAAGTAATAGTCCCAGTTGTAGTAGTAGTAGTGGTGGTGGTGGTGGTGGTGGCCGAGTCCAGAGTAGCCGATAATAATAACAATAATAATAATAGTACGAGCCGTGTTCCTTTCGTATTGGAAACAACGGATCTAATGATTATTATTATCGATGACAACAGCAACCACAGAAGAGATCTCCTTGACAGAGCCCTTCCAAAAAGGCTCTTGGGTTTGGACGATGTTGCAACGCGATGGTGGTACGAGGGCAGCTGCTGCAATTCTTGAATTCTGTTCTCGCCAGGTACAAGCGGACCGGCCCAGGGTGGAGGAGAGAGTGGAGTAGGGATAGTTTGAAAGAGGAGCCCTGGTTGACTGGAGAGAGGCAAAGCCAGATGATAAAAAGATAGAAGAGTGATCTGAGGTTGGGAGTCAAGAGCAAGAAATACTCTACGTAGAAAGGAGCAGCTGCACGAAGGAAAGGAAAAGGAAAGGAGCTGACAGTCTGTCAGTTCCCTACAAGTACAAGCAGAACAACAACATTAGAGAGAGCTTGGCTTAGTAGTAAAGTAGTAAGTTAGCATTTAGTTAGTTTAGTTGATTTAGTGAGAGTAACTTAGTACTCGGTTTTATATTTTATTTTTCTCCATCTAATTTATTTAGTCTTATTATTATTTCATCTCAGTCGATTTTATTTTTCATCTGTCTCTCTCTCTCTCTCTCCCACCTCCCCTCTCCCCTTCTGCATTTAATTTAGCTCGGAATTATTATTATCTTTTTTTTGGGGAAAGAAAAAAGAAAGGAAAAAAAAAAAAAAAAACTCTCGCGAATTCTCATTTTCGCCTCCCCATCTCTTCGTTTCTCGCCGCGTATTTTAACGCCGCATACCTCACTCACGGTACCTGGGAGGTACCTAGTCACTAGGCTTGTTGATTACATATCCACCGGTTCCCACCAGGGAACCCCCCAATAAGAACCCCAATGAAAGTAACTTAGAATAGCTAGTAGCTCCGTTGGATCGACTGTTTCTCATACTTCCACCCGACCCAAGACTCCAATGAAGAAGATCGAGAGATAGCTTCCGGGAAGGTAGAGAGGGAATCTGCAGAAGAGCACCAGCCAGAGAATAATAATAATAAAACAACTTGAAAACATCAACCCGATAAGTGCCCCCAACCAGCAAGGCAACGACGACCTGATTAGTCTGAAAAGCCCATACCTTATGATCGAAGTACAGAGTACTTCGTACAGACATGCAGATACTGTACCTAGGGAGTACATTCCCACACCTATACACACCGAATAACGCAGGTAAGCCGTGGGGTGGGCTGTCTCCTTATGCCCACCAAGCAGTGGGCACTTTAATTTAGGAAATCCCCCTAAAATGACAGGCCGAGGAGGCGTCCACTGGGGCCCGCTGTCGCGATGCCTGGGGTAAATCACTTGCCTAAGCTGAGGTCGCTGGGAGACCCAACCTTTGAGACTAGGGGCAAAGGCAGCCTGGGTGAGTGAGTGAGTGAGGTCCGTATCTACCGTAGATTAATATTATTATTATCACTTACAAAAGCGGTTTTGCGACGAGTGCAGCAGGAACGAACACATGTCCTAGATCATTTGTGGGATAGCGACCAAGACCACGTAAGAATTGAAAGAGTGCCTACGTAGTTGCTATTTTTCTTTCTGCACTCTCAACCTACAGAACGGTCTTTCTCTAACCAGGACTAGGTTGATTTAGGGACTTGGGTGGAAAGAGAAGACCAGGACTCCAGGAGGGACTCAGGGAGAGACCGAGTGAGTGAGAGAGAGAGAGAGAGGGGGGGGGGGGAACACCAAAGTCCCCACCGGATCCGCCTGTGCCTTAGAATGCTGAGAGGCTAGTATATAGGCTCGACCAATAAACACGCCCAAGACCGCAGGCTGGCCTTGGAACAAACCCACTAGTCTGCAGATGGTTTAGCAGCCTGCATTCGAAGATGCAATCTGGACTTCAGCACTAGTATCAGATACTGTATCCCGACACTAGTAATTGGAGTCGTCGACCGCATCTAGTACGTAACATTACTTATCGATATGTAATGCTTTCCATGTTTTACTTACTTACGAGTACATACATACTTGCTTCGCTCTGTAGTTGACATTTGCTGGATATGAATAATCTCCAGATCGCAGACTTCCAACAACCCAGACAAACGTGCTCTGGTAGTCTCGGTAGATCCCTGCACAGATCAATGGCAGAGGTGAACAACAATGGCATCCATTTTCAATAGGACTGAGGGGTTCATCGTATAACTGCAGACAATAAATGGGAGCTGGAGAAGTATCACAGCATACCTACTCACTCCAATACAGCCAGCAGTAAGTCGGGGTACAGACCGCCCCGTACCACATTACAATGGTATGCTTAGCGGGTGGACCAACAACAAGCAAGGCCAAGGTGGCTCTGGAAGTGTACTTACTGTACAGTACCAAGACACACCACGTTACTTTCCACTCGCTGACATCAAATAACCCGTACTCCTCTGGTCCTCGTTCAATCCTGGCGGTAACTTAATAATGATACTTAAGTTACCAAGTATGTAATTCATCTAAACTGGTGCCAGACCATCCACACCCAAACCAAGGTCCATCGACTGCTAATCTCTGTCCCCGCGATCGAGCTGGAGTTAAATTCCATGACTGGCACTTTCGGCAGCCTACCTGTCTGGTTCTCAAGCGGAACTGACCGCCAGCAGCGCGTACCGAACAGGAAGCGACACGGGGAACAGCCGAAAGAGGGAAACGGCTGCCATAACTTTAGACTTAATGACAGACCAGGCAACACCAGCCGGGAAATTATCAGCAAGGGATAAGTCAAATGTTAGCAGGCGATGCAACAATTCTCTTTCGCCCTCCCTGCCTCTGGCCAAGTATGGGGAACATTTGAAGCTAGTCCAGAGCAGCCCTCTCTCTCGAGGAATTGGTAAGGTATCAATCAATCATCCATCCATCCATCCATCCCTCCATCGATTTCATCGGGTGAGAGAACCGGGAGGTGGGTCATGGTTCTTCCTACGATGCCGCCCTGGTTCCTCGGTCCGGATTACTAGTATCCCCAATAACTTCTACTTGGCCCGATTAGGCAGTAGTTGTCATCGGTACTGGGATGATTCACCGTCCACCAAGAATGAACAGATGATATCTTTGGCGATGACCATTGGCTCTGTCGTAAATCTTAGGATAGGGGGGACAATCGCAAACGAGAACGCCACGGCTTACCACCGCGGCTCTAATGATGTGCTAATTCGAGGCCGTCCAGATGAAACGCCAACGATCCTCTAACTCCGATCAGTATCATCGCATTGCATCGCATCATAGGGGAGGACTTATCGTCGGCCAAGGGAGATTCCGGAGGTGCCATTTCCCCACGTGGCGGGCTTCCAAAACCATCTGGCCCCCCCTCCCCGCGACGCGAGCTCCTGTGAGGACCTTGTAAGGGATACTGGAGCTTTCTGATTGCTCTATGAGTCAGTCAATAGACTGACAAGCTGACAGCCTGAGTTGACCCTCTCCCCCCCCCCCCCCCCAAAACAAGGGAGCAAGGACCACCTAGCAGCGGGTCGGTACAAGCTCTCATGCTCTCTCCATGCCCTAGTCAACCACCCCC